AGTATTCAAATTTCGATGTATCGGGTATTTGTTCCCAATTTGGTCCAGTGAATGAAAATACATCCTGTATATCAGGTATTTACATTACGGTTCATAACAGTAGCAAAATTACAGTTATGAAGTAGAAGCAAAAATAGTTTTATGGTTGGGGTTACCACAACATGAGGAACTGTATTAGGGGGTCACAGCATTAGGAAGGTTGAGAACCACTGGTATAGAGCAAAAGTATTTTTTTAAATCCCCCTTTTAGCTTGCTATAGTCCAGACATTGAGCAAGTTCCTCACATATTTGTTTTTTTTAAGTATGAGGCAACAATTAAGTTCACAATGAATACGTAGTATGTCAATCCATACATTACTGCCTCTGAAACCTCTCCCCTAGTCTCATTTGCTCCTTTCTTTTCGCTTCATTGCAGTTTGAGCTGCTTAGAGAGTGCCTTCTGGAGATTTGCACTCTGCAACACTACCATGCATGATATTCCGTTTCCTCTTTTATAATTTATAGGCAGCCTGCTTCCCTGAAGTAAGAAATTCCTTTCCCAGACCTGCTTGGGAAGCAAAACAGAAGAAAACAGCTATGCCATTCTATTGCTGGCTCATCATGCCCATTGCTTAAAAGTATGCCATTTCCCTGCCTCTTCTTCCCTTGAATCAATCTCCGTCAAATGCCATTCCCTTTAAGCACAAAAGAGATCAATGCTAAGTTTCCTAATGAACTAATCCAAAACCTTTTTTGGCTTTGCTGCCTGACTTTTTAAGAGGAGCACACCAAGCCAAAAGCACAATTTATTTTGTAGTATAACCTTCAAGAAAGAGACAATGGGGCATCACAAGCAAGTCAGTAAAAAGAATGCAATTACTTCCGCTTTGAAATCAGAATCCTATTGTGGGTTACAAGTTTCTCTTTCACCTCCTGGATGGAGGAGAAGCAGCTATCAATATTGTGGTGGGGGCTCCTTCTTTGGAGGCTTTTAAGCAGAGGTTGGATGGCCATCTGTCAGGGGTGCTTTAAATGTGATTTTCCTGCTTCTTGGCAGAATGGGGTTGGTCTGGATGGCCCACAAGGTCTCTTCTAACTCTATGATTCTATAATATTGCAAAAGCAAATAATTGCAATTTGTGTATATCATTACAATTGCAAGGGCCAAAATTTAAATTTGGGACAAAGCAATTAGCATCATGCTAAGACTTGTCTCATATTGATGAATTCACATTTCTAATACAGTACATCTCTCTTTATGTATACCTTCAAGTTGTATGTCAACTTAATGGCAATCCCTTGAATTTCATAGGATTTTCTTAGACAATTAATACTTAAGTGATGGTTTTCTTCTGACATACAACTTGTGGGGCAGCCCCCAAATGTTACCGCATGAAAGAGATCTGGTGAGGTGACCTACTAAAATAGACCCACTGTGGGAGACCCCATTATAGTGATCCATTGAGGGAGACCTTCTCAGGAAGACCCACTGAGGGTAACCCACTACAAGAGACCCATTGCAGGAGCCTCATGAAGGTCACCCAGTCAGGGAAAGCCACAGAAATAGGGTGGCCTACTAAAATAGACCCATTGTGGGAGATCCACTGATGATGACCCACCAAAATAGACTGTGTGCTGGAAACACTAGTGAGGAAACCACTGAGGAAAACCCACAAAAATAGATGCCCTGAGGGAGATCCACTGCAGGAGAACGCATGAGTATTTTAGTTGGTTTCCCTCATGAAGACTCTCATAGAATCCCCCTCAGTGGGTCTATTTTAGTGGGTCTACCTCAGAGCTCCTTCTTTAGTGGGTCTCCCTCAGGGAACCTCCCTTGTGAGCATTATTTTAGGGGGTCTCCCTTAAGGAGTCTCCTTCAACTGAGCGAGGGGACCCACTAAAACACTATCGCTATGGGAAACATAAAGAGCGGGACCCACTGATAAAATAGACTAACTGAGGGAAACTATGGAATACGCAGTAAGATCCTTGAGGTTGACCACTGAGGGAAACCCAAATAGATGCTGTGAGGTGGCCTCTGTGGGAGACCCATTAAAATAGACCCCATGAATGTCACCATGAGTGTGGGAGACCCACTAAAGTAGGCCCATTGAGGGAGATACAGTGAAGGATGAGCTCTGAGGGAGATCCACCAAAATAGATGAATTGAGGAAGACTCCATAAGGGTATCCCCCTAAAATAAGGCTCATGAGGAAAGTTCCCTGAGGGAGACCCACTGAAGAAGGAGCTCTGAGGTAGGCCCACTCAAATAGACCCACTGAGAGAGACTCCACGAGAGTCTTCATGAGGGAAGCCAACTAAAATAGGCCCATTGAAGGAGACACACTGAAGAAGCTCTGCGGAGAGGTCCACTAAAATAAACTAGTTGAGAGAGATTCCATGAGGGAACCCCCTAAAATAGGCCCATTGAGAGGGAAGCTCATTTAAGGAAGAGCTCTAAGGTGGGCCCACTAAAATAGGCCAATTGAGGGAGACTCCATGAGGGAGACCCAATAAAGTAGGCCCATTGAGAGAGACGCTCATTTAAGGAGGTGCTCTAAGGTGGGGCCACTAAAATAGGCCCATTGAAGGAGACTCCATGAGGGAGGCTTAGTGAAGGAGACCAATTAAAATTGGCCCACTGAGGGTGATAGACTAAAATTGACTCCTTGAGGGAGACAATTTGGTCTCCCTCATGGAGGGGGACTCCATGAGGGAGACCAACTAAAATTGGCCATTGAGGGAGACTCCATGAAGGAGACAGACTAAAATAGACTCCTTGAGAGAGACTCTATGAAGGGGACTCCATGAGGGAGACCAACTAAATTAGGCCCATTGAGGGAGACTCCATAACAATAATACTTTATTTATAACCTTCCCTATCTCCATTGAGGGAGACTGACTAAAATACGCCCATTGAGGGAGACCCATTGGTGCAGGCTCCATGAGGGAGATTCCATGAGAAGCGTTGAGGGAGATGCTGAGAGCATGATCTCCTAAAATAGACTCCATGAGGGAGACCCATTGAAGGAGACTGACTAAAAGGGACTCCTTAAAAATCATAGAATCCTAGAGTTGGAAGAGACCTTGTGGGCCATCCAGTCCAACTCCATTCTGCCAAGAAGCAGGAAAATCACATTCAAAGTGCCCCGATAGATGGCCATCCAGCCTTTGCTTAAAACCCTCCAGAGGAGCCTCCACCACACTCCAGGGCAGAGAGTTCCATTGCTGGACAGCTCTCACAGTCAGGAAGTTCTTAATGTTCAGATGGAATCTCCTTTCCTGTAGTTTGAAGTCATTGTTCCATTATATCCATATAGTCTCCAGGGCAGCAGAAAACACAGTCCCTCTGACTTTCCTCCATATGTCTTCCCCTCACATTTTGATCCATGGTCCTCATCATGTCTCCTCTCAGCCTTCTCTTCTTCAGGCTAAACATGCCCGGCTCTTTCAGCCGCTCCTCATAGGGATTGTTCTCCAGATCCCTTGATCCTTTGCGTCACCCTCCTCTGGACACATTCCACCTTTGAGTCAACATCTCTCTTCAATGGTGGTGCCCAGAATTGGGGCACCACAGGGAGTTCCATTGAGGGACACTCCATGAGGGAGACTCATTTGAAAGAGACTGCCTAAAAGAGACTCCTTGAGGGAATTCCATTGAGGGAGACTCCATGAGGGAGACCCATTTGAGGGAGACTGACTAAAAGAGACTCCTTGCGAGAGTTCAATTGAGGGAGACTCCATGAGGGGACTAATTTGAGGGAGACTGATTAAAAGAGACTCCTTGAGGGAGTTCCATTGAGGCAGACTCCATGAGGGAGACTCATTTGAGAAAGACTGATTAAAAGAGACTCCTTGAGGGAGTTCAATTGAGGGAGACTCCATGAGGGGGACTCATTTTTGGGAGACTGACTAAAAGAGACTCCTTGAGGGAGTTCAATTGAGGGAGACTCCATGAGGGGACCTCATTTGAGAGAGACTGACTAAAAGAGACTCCTTGAGGGAGTTCAATTGAGGGAGAGTCCATAGAGGGAGACCCATTTGAGAGAGACTGACTAAAAGATCCTTGAAGGAGTTCTATTGAGAGAGACTCCATGAAGGAGACCCATTTGAGGGAGACTGACTAACAGAGACTTGAGGGAGTTCCATTGAGGGAGACTCCATGAGGGAGACCCATTTGACTAAAAGAGACTCCTTGAGGAGTTCAATTGAGGGAGACCCATTTGAGGGAGACCAATTTGACTAAAAGAGGCTCCTTGAGGAGTTCAATTGAGGGAGACTCCATGAGGGAGACCCATTTGACGAAAAGAGACTCCTTGAGGAGTTCAATTGAGGGAGACCCTTTTGAGGGAGACTGACTAAAAGAGACTCCTTGAGGGAGTTGAGAGAGAGCCATTTGAGGCAGACTGACTAAAAGAGATTCCTTGAGGGAGTTCAGTTGAGGGATACTCCATGAAGGAGACCCATTTGAGGGAGACTGACTAACAGAGACTCCTTGAGGGAGACTCCATGAGGGAGACCCATTTGAGGGAGACTAACAGAGACCCCTTGAGGGAGTTCCATTGTGGGAGACTCCATGAGGGAGACCCATTTGAGGGAGGCTGACTAAAAGAGACTCCTTGAGGGAGTTCAATTGAGGGAGACTCCATGAGGGGACTAATTTGAGGGAGACTGACTAAAGGAGACTCCTTGAGGGAGTTCCATTGAGGGAGACCCATTTGAGAGAGACTGACTAAAAGAGACTCCATGAGGGAGACCCATTTGAGGGAGACTAACAGAGACTCCTTGAGGGAGTTCAATTGAGGGAGACTCCATGAGGGAGACTGAAGAAGGGAGACCCACTCCAACAGGCCCTCCTCTGATGGAGACTCCATGAGAAGCTGTGAGGGAGCCCCCATGCCTCCCTCCCTCTGTGATGGGAGCCAAGATGGCGGCGCTGAGGGGGCGGGAGTTGGGCGCGCTTCTCCCCCGCCCGCCCTCCCGCTCCCCCGCCTGGGCCTGGCTCCTCCCCGTCACGACGACGACGACGAAGCCTCCGGCGGGGAGCGCGAGCGAGGGACTCCCTTCCTTCCTTCCTTCCTTCCTTCGTTCTCTCCCTTGAGTCTTCCCTCCTCCTCCTTGCTTGGGGCCCACCTGTGGCGGGAAGGTGAGCACCCAGGGCCAGCGGGAAGGGCCCTCTCCCCGCCTCCCCTTTCCCTCCTTTCCCCGCCATCCAGGGAGCGATGGAGACCTTCCTCCATCCTCCTCCATCCCTCCTTCGGCGGAGGAGAGGCTGTCGCTAGAAGGCGTGCTTTCTGGGGGGAAGTTTGACGGGCTGGCTGTGGGCAAAGGGGACGCCAGGTCCTTTTATTATTGTCAAAGGCTTTTCATGGCTTGAATCACTGGGTTGTTGTGAGTTTTCCGGGCTGTCTGGCTATGATTCAGAAGCATTCTCTCCTGACGTTTCGCCTGCATCTTTGGTAGGCATCCTCAGAGGTTGGGAGGTCTGTCTGGCCATGCTTCAGAAGCATTCCCTCCTGACATTTTGCCTGTATCTATGGTAGGCATCCTCAGAGGTTGGGAGGTCTGTCTGGCCATGCTTCAGAAGCATTCTCTCCTGACGTTTCGCCTGTATCTATGGTAGGCATCCTCAGAGGTTGGGAGGTCTGTCTGGCCATGCTTCAGAAGCATTCCCTCCTGACGTTTCGCCTGCATCTATGGCAGGCATCCTCAGAGTTTGGGAGGTCTGTCTAGCCATGAATCAGAAGCATTCTCTCCTGACGTTTCACCTACATCTATGGCAGGCATCCTCAAAGGTTGGGAGGTCTGTCTAGCCATGTTCCAGAAGCATTCTCTCCTGACGTTTCGCCTACATCTATGGCAGGTATCCTCAGAGGTTGTGAGGTCCTCACAACCTCTGAGAATGCCTGCCCTAGATGCAGACAAAACATCAGGAGAGAATGCTTCTGAAACATAGCCAGACAGCTTGGAAAACTCACTATAACCCATTTATTATTGTTTGGCAAGGAATTGGTGAAAGAATAATAGGAATAATACTAGTAATACTTGGAAAGGGTGGCTAAGGAAGTCTCTGCATGCGTTGGAAACCATCAGGTGCTTTTATTATTATGTGGCAAGGATCGGAAGAATCATAGTAATAATAGTAGTGATAATAATAGTGGAGAGACGGGTTAAGGAATGTCTTTGCATGCTTTGGAAACCATCAGGACTTTTTATTATTGTTTGACAAGGAATTGGAGAAAGAATAATAGTAATAATAATAGAAAATGTGGTTAAGGAATGTCTCGGCACGCTTTGGATACCATCAGGTCGCTTTATTATGATGTGACAAGGATTTGGAGAAGAAATGATATCAATAATAAAAATGGAAAGGCAGGTTAAGGAATGTCTTTGCGTGCTTTTGAAACCACCAGGTTCTTTTATTATTGCTTGGCAAGGATTTGGAGAAATCATAATAGGAATAATAATAGTAATAATAGTAGAAAGACTACCCTTTCCATTAATAATAATAATAATAATAATAATAATAATAATAATATCATTATTACTCTGCATGCTTTTGAAACTATCAGATCTTTTTATTATTGTTTGGCAAGGCTTTGGGGAAGGAATAAAAGGGATAAATAGTGGAAAGGCTACCCTTTCCATTATTGTTATTGTTATTATTATTATTATTATTATTATTATTATTATTACTCTGCATGCTTTTGAAACTATCAGATCCTTTTATTATTATGTGGCAAGGATTTGGAGAAATAACCATAGTATTAATGATCATTATAATGGTGGAAAGGGAAGCAAAGGAATGTCTCTGCATGATTTCAAAACCATCCTGTCCTTTTATTATTATTTGGGAAGGATTTGGAGACACAATAATAGCATTATTATTATAGTAATAATAATAATAATTGTGGAAAGCTCCCCCCTTTCCATTATTAGTATTACTATTATTACTCTGCATGCTTTTGAAACTATCAGGTCCTTTTATTATTATGTGGCAAGGATTTGGAGAAGGAAGCATCATAGTAATAATAATAGTCATGGTAATAATGATAGTGGAATGGCGGATTAAGAAATGTCTTTGCGTGCTTTTGAAACCATCGGGTCCTTTTATTATTGCTTGGCAAGGATTTGGAGAAACAACAACAACAACAATAATGGAAAGGGGGCAAAATGTATCTGCATTTGGAGTTGTTGAAAATCATAATAATATTAACAACAACAATCACATTAAATTATTTGCAAAAGAGGGATTAATAGTGTTATTTGACCAGATCCCCTCCAAAAAAAGTGAAAAGGGAGGCAAAGCAATATCTTCATATGCTTTTGAAAGCATCAGGTACTTTTATTAGGCAAGGATGTAGAAATAATAATAATAAAAAGGAGGACAAACATACCTCTGCATGCTTTTGGAACTATTTTCGATGTTAAAGTTGTGTTGTCTGCATGTTGTTATTAAGATGTAATAGGCAAAGATGGGAGTGAATCATGGAACAAGATACTTGGCCTTTCTAATTATCCTGCAAATAAACAGTGTTCTTTGTATTTTTACAGGTTGAATCTCCAGTCTTCGAAATGCTTGCAAACAAAATCGTTTTGGGCTTTTCCCCTCTGGATTTGGGAATACCTGTAGTTGGATCTACGCTCCTAATGAGGTCTCTTGGAGACGGGACCCAAATCTAAACACAGAATTCGTTGATTCACCATAAGCATCTTGCACTCATAGCCTGAAGGTAATTTTATATGCTATTTTTATCCTGGTTTGAAAGAAAAAAGTTTGAGTACATTGAACTTTCCAAAGTGTAACTTTCTCAGCCATATGTATAGATAATTTTGGAGTATTTCCGATAAGAAATAACTGTATTTATGTCTAGAATTTGGGGAAGTGGTATCTTTCCTGTGTTAAAATGATGCATTCATTTTGCATCTGTTCTCTCCCATCTTCCTGCTTTTTGCATATATGGAGATGAAAACAATGTTGATCTCTAGGTTGTCACCTATGTATCTCTTTGAAGGGCTTTATATCTTTGCCACAGATTGTATTTATGCCAGTACGGACTCAAATTCCCATCTTTTATGTGGCCAGTATCAAAACAAGGCATTTTAAAGCCAGGATGGGATAGGGAAGATCCTAGCAGTTAGATTGGCTGATGATTTATTCGCCAAGCTTAACAATAAATGCCATGTCTTAAGCGTATGCCTTTATTCCCATAAGAGGTAGTGTTGACAACCCTACTATTAGGCTGATTGAGGGAGCCACTTCAGGCCAGAGATTTGGGGCATGTTATTATTGTGTGCTTTCAAGTTATTTTCTTGAAAGCGGCCCTCATGATGGGGTTTTCTTGGCAAGATTCATACAGGTGAGGTTTGCCTTTGCTTTTCTCTGAGGCTGACAGACTGTGATTTGCCCAAGGTTAGCCTATATCCAAGCAGGAATTTAAACACTGATCTTACTTACTTACATACTTACTTAGGCGATCCCTCATTGTCCAAGTAGGATGGTCTTCCAAGATCAGTGTGCTGGTGAGTCCGTAGGTGACTGTGGAGCCCTATTCTTGATCTGCATCTTCTCCCGCAGTGAGGGCATTGGTTTCCAGGTGGAAGGCGGTCTCGGTTGGGGTTGGCTTGACGTGCCTTCCTCTTGGCACGTTTCTCTCTTTCACCCTCCATTCGTGCCTCTTCAAAGTCTACAGCACTGCTGGTCACAGCTGACCTCCAGCTGGAGCCTCAAGGGCCAGGGGTTCCCAGTTCTCAGTGTCTATGCCAGAGTTTTTAAGGTTTTGAGCCCATCTTTAAATCTCTTTTCCTGCCCTCCAACATTCCATTTTCCATTCTTGAGTTTGGAGTAGAGCAACTGCTTTGGGAGACGATGGTCAGGCATCCAGACAAAGTGGCCGGTGCAGCGGAGTTGATAGTGGTGCTCTTTGCTTCTTCCAGCACGCTGACATTTGTCCACTTGTCTTCCCAAGAGAATTGCAGGATCCTCCAGAGGCAATTGTTCCAGGAGTTGCATTTGACATCTGTAGACAGTCCATGTCTCACAGGTGTAAAGCAGGGTTGGGAGGACAATAGCTTTATAAACAAGCACCTTGGTATCCCTACGGATGTCCTGGACCTCAAACACTCTCTGCTTCATTTGGAAAAATGCTGCACTCGCAGAGCTCAGGCGGTGTTGTAGTTCAGTGTTCAGTGTTGGCTTTTGTGGAGAGGTGGCTGCCAAGGTAGCAGAAATGATCAACATTTTCTAATGTTACACCACTAAGCTGTATTTCTGGCATTGGAGAGGGATTGGCTGGTGACTGCTGGAAGAGCACCTTGGTTTTCTCAATATTCAGTGACAGGCCAAGCTTCTCGTATGCATCTGTGAAGGTGTTCAGAGTGGCTTGCAGGTCTTCTTCTGAATGCGTACAGACGATATTGCCATCCGCATATTGGAGTTCTATAACAGATGTTGTAACCTTGGTTTTGGCTTTCAGTCTGCTGAGGTTAAATAGCTTGCCATCTGTCTGATAGATGATTCCACTTTGGTGGGAAGCTTCCCATCAATAAGATGAAGTATAGCAATGAAGATGGAGAATAAAGTTGGGGCAATAACACATCCCTGTTTGACACCTGATTCCACCTTAAATGGGTTACTTTGGGAGCCATTGCTGTCCAAGACGGTTGCCATCAATCTACATTGTCATGGTATGGCATGCAAACCACTAGAAGGAAAAAAGTAGCATTTTTGAGATAGTACTTTTGGGTGTTGATTCTGGAAACCAGTGTTCAAATTCCTGCTCAGAAGAATAAATAGTTTAGTTTGGCACGAGCTTATAGCCGATTTACTTCATCAGAATGCTTGCACAGAAATAAATGGGGTGATAATTCAAAGGTATAGCCATATTAGTCTGGAATCTCAGTACGCAAAGGGATCTTGTAGCACAAATGGAGGGAAAATTAGTAGCATAGCACCTGAGGAATTAGACGGTCTGCATAACTTTATGCTGCCACCTTTGTTCTCTCAGTCTGTAAGGTGTTACAAGTACCTGCAATACTTACCATAGGTTAGCCTTAAATCTGTCACAAGAGTATTCTTTCATTCCCTTTTTAAAACTACTGGAATAGACCAATGTAGTACCTCTCTGAAATCTGCTATAGTAAAAGGATAGCCTGTTAGATGTTTGCTTTGTTACAAGGAGAGCTGGGTAATAAACACAGTGTTATTATGACTTGTTGAAGGCTTTCATGGCCGGAATAATTGGGTTGCTGTGAGTTTTCCGGGCTGTCTGGCCACGTTCCAGAAGCATTATCTCCTGATGTTTCACGCACGTTTGTGGCAGGCACCCTCAGACGTTGTGAGGTTTGCTGAAGACTAGGAAAATGAGGTTTATATATCTGTGGAATTGTCACAAGCATGTGGACAATTTCAACAAAAAGGAGGAAACCATGAAAATGAACAAAATCTGGCTACCGGTATTTAAAAAAACTGTAAAATCAGGAAAGTAAATAAAGAGCAATACTCAAAACACAGGGCAATTCCAGACAGGAAACAATCAGGGCCAGATAACACCTCCCAACAAAGAATCCCTCAGGCAGCAACTAGCCAGGTTTTGAAGCTGCAAGGCCATTAAATGCTAATCAAGGTGGCCAATTGCAACATTCACACTTGCCTCAAACAGACAAGAATTCTTTCTCCCACCCTGGACATTCCACAGATATTTAAACCTCACTTGCCTAGTTTCCAACAGACCTCACAACTCTGAGGATGCCTGCCATAGATGTGGGCGAAACATCAGGAGGGAATGCTTCTGGAACATGACCAGAGACCCTGAAAACTCACAACAACCCAAAGTATTATTGTCATTATTACTGTATTTAGAGGAACATAGCTGGATTTGGGTACGAAGTACTTGAGTAATGTTAACATTTCTGCATGTGTCTGTGTGGGCTGTTTCCTCTCGTGCCTCAGGCAATAAAATGCCTTGGGCAAACCCCACAAACAAATTATTTCCCTTCCTCTTATGGGGGAAAACCAACTGCCACACCTCCCAGCCTTGTGGTGGTACTGGTACATAACCACATTGCTTTCTTCAACTTCCTTAGAGACACGCTGCATAGCATTTGACAAAATTCCGATGATACAGTCCATATTGATAGGCATTTCAGCCTCAATTCAATTTGTTCAACACATTATTCAATGTACTTTGCGTACATTTTCTTCCTTCGACTCCTTGCATTTTATTTTACTCTCAAGAACTATCTGATGTAATTGAAGAACCATGTTAGAATGTTGATTTGTGCATTGCAAAAGGACAATTCTTACCTTTCCTTGGCTTAACGCATAACTAATCTCATTATAATCCTTACAGTAGCCTTGAAGGTTAGAACTGTATCTGTTGCTCTTTGAAATGCAAAACAACAGCTTGGCACCTCATGCATGAGTTGATGGGAGAAGCAGAAACAAGATTTGAGCTGGCTATTTTGTTTAGTTGCTTGGCAGTTGAAATAATTCTAGGCTACGTAGTAGAGCAATGCCTAAAGAAAGGATAATTCCTTGTCTTCAGGACTGTTTATATATGAAAAATGTCTTGGTACATAAATGCAGGCTATAAGTGAACGGAGTGTGCATACCCACAATAGACTACTGCAATGTGCTCTATGTGGGGTTGCCTTTGAAGACTGTTTGGAAGCTTCAAATATTTATTTTATTTACAGTATTTGTATACCGCTTTTCTCACCCCGAGGGGAACTCAAAGTGGTTTACACATAAGTAATGGCAAAAATTCAATGCCAGTACAAACAATTACAATTACACACTACAATTAGACATACATTAAATTTAAAAAATACTTCCATGAGCAATAAAATAATCATTAAAACAATAAAAGTCTTGTCTGTCGAATTGCCATTCCAGTCATTGTCTTTCCGAAATGCTGCATACATTTACTTCTACTGCCCAAAGGCCTGGTCCCAAAACCATGATTTTAATTTTTTTCTAAAAACCAGGAGGGAGGGAGCGGATCTTACCTCATTTGGGAGTGTGTTCCATAGGCGGGAGGCCACAGCCGAGAAGGCACTGTCTCTCGTTCTCGCCAGGCGCATCTGTGCTGTTGACGAGAGCGAGAGCAGGGCCTCCCCGGCTGATCTTAGATTACGAGGTGGGATGTAGGGGTGGATGCATTTGGACAAGTAAGCTGGACCAGAACCATATAGAGCTTTATAGGTCAAAACCAGCACTTTGAATTGGGCTTGGAGATGGACCGTCAGCCAGTCCAACAAGAGAAGCCAGGTTAATAACTAGGGCAGCATACAGGGAGCACAGAACTCCCATGTTTCGTCAGCTCCACTGGCTGCCTGTTTGCTACTGGGCACAATTCAAAGTGCTGGCTTTAGCCTATAAAGCCCCAAATAGCCCCGGACCAGTTTACCTGTCAAAACGCAACTCCCTTTATGAACCATCACAAAAAATAAGATCTTCTGACAAGACCCTGCTCTTGGTCCCACCACTACAGTTATTGATGCATTTGGCGAGGACAAGAGAGAGGGCCTTCTCAGTGATTGCCCCCAGCTATGGAACTCCCTTCCTGGTGAGACTAGATCAGCCCCCTCCCTCCTGTCCTTCAGAAAAATGGTAAAAACCTGGCTGTGGGACCAAGCCTTTGGGGCAGTGCAGTGAGGCTATAAAGAGGAAACCTACACTGACCGGAGCCAGCATGGACTCTTCAGATGGTTTTAAACAGCTGCTTTTAAA